AGGGCTCGGGTGGGCTCAGTCTTTGGCCCCCCCTCCTGAGGCTGTGTAGTCATTGTTAGAACAGGGCCACAGTGCAATGAAGTTGGAGAACTGCTAGTTAGCCTGATATCAATTCCAGGCAAAGTAATTCTTTATCAGTTGAATCACTTACGAGCTTTTCCATTAAAGGATAGGAACAGAACAGTGCTAGTCAATATGTTTTTGTTTTTTTGCGGGGTGGGGGGAAGAATAGATCTTGTCAAACCTGATATTTTCTGAGAATACAAGTTTGGTTGATAAAAGGTAACCATGTAGATGTAATAGACTTTTTAAGGTGTTTTGTAAGGTGTACCACATGGTGGATTAAAAAATTAGCACTACATCAATAAAGCACATGGATTTCAAGAAGGCAGACTTTAGCAAACTCCAGAAGTTGGTAGGTAAGATCCCATGGGAAGCAAGTCTAAGGAGAAAAACAGTTCAAGGGAGTTGGCCCTTTTTCAAAGAGACCTTATCAAGAGCAAACTATCCCACTTTGTAGGAAAGATAGGAAGTATGGCAAGAGACCACCCTGGCTTAACCAGGAGATCTTCAATGACCTGAAACTCAAAAGAGAGTCCTATAAAAAGTGGAAACTAGGTCAAATTACAAAGAATAAATATAAACAAAACATACCCATGTAGGGACAAAATTAGACAGGGCAAGGCAAAAAACAAGATCAAATTGGCTAGAGGCAAAGGGTAACAAAAAAACATTCTACAAATACATTAGAAGCAAGAGGAAGACCAAGGATAGGGTAGGCCCCATTACTCAATGGGGGTGGGGGGGCAGGGAGAGAGACAGTAACAGAAAATGAGGAAATAACACAAGTGCTAAATGACTTGTTTCAGTTTTCACCAAAAGGGTTACAAGCAATTAGATGTCTAACATAGTGATGTGGTATATCTTGATTTTAGTAAGGCTTTTGATACTATCTCACATGATCTTCTCAAACAAACTAGGGAAATACAACCTAGATGGAGCTACTAGAAGATGGGTGTATAACTGATTGGAAAACCCTCCCAGAGAGTAGTTATCAGTGGTTCACAGTCAAGCTGGAAGGGCATGTCAGGTGGGGGCCTGCAGGGATCAGTTCTGGGTCCCTTTCTGTTCAATATCTTCATCAATGATTTAGATAATGGCATAGAGAGTGCACTTAAAGTTTTCAGACAAAACCAAGCTGGGAGAGATTGAAATGCTTTGGAGGATAGGATTTGAAACAATCTGGCCAAAATGGAGAAATGGTCTGAAGTGAATAGGATGAAATTCAATAAGGACAAATGCAAAGTACTCCACTTAGGAAGGACCAATCAGTTGCCCACATACAAAATGGGAAATGACTGCCTAGGAAGGAGTACTGCAGAAAGGGATCTCAGGGTCATAGTGGATCACAAGCTAAATATGAGTCAACAGTGTAACACTGTTGCAAAAAAAGCAAACATCATTCTGGGATGTATTAGCAGGAGTGTTTCAAGCAAGACACAAGAAGTAATTCTTCCACTCTACTCCGCGCTGATTACTCCTCAACTGGAGTACTGTGTCCAGTTCTGGGCGCCACGTTTCAGGAAAGATATGGACAAATGGGAGAAAGTCCAGAGAAGAGAAACCATTATTAAAGGTCTACAAAACATGACCTCTGAGGGAAGATTGCAAAAAAAGGGTTTGTTTAGTCTGGAGAACAGAAGACGGGGGGACATGATAACAGTTTCCAAGTACATAAAAGGATGTTACAAGGAGGAGGGAGAAAAATTGTTCTACTTAACCTCTGAGGATAGGACAAGAAGCAATAGATTTAAATGGCAGCCAGGGTGGTTTAGGCTGGACGTTAGGATAAACTTCCTGTCAGGGTGGTTAAACACTGGAATAAATTGCCTAGGGAGGTTGTGGATTCTCCATCATTGGAGATTTTTAAGAGCAGGTTAGACAAACACCTGTCAGGGATGGTCTAAATAATACTTAGTCCTGCCTTGAGTGCAGGGGACTGGACAAGATGACCTCTCGAGGTCCCTTCCAGTCCTACAATTCTATGATTCCATTTTAAAAGCATTAAGAACTGGCTAACTGACAAATCTCAAAAAAGTAGTAGCAGACAATGGGGAATCATCCCTGAATAATTGTTTCTAGTGGGATTCAGCAGTGATTAGTACTAGGCCTGGGATTCAGAAGTAAACATATAATCACTGCTGATAAAATTTGCAGATGACACAAAGATTGGGAAAATTATAAATAACGATGACAGGGCAGTCATACAGTGATCGCTTGGTAAGGTAGGCCCTCTCAAACAAAATGTGTTTTAATGCAGCCAAATGCAGTTATTCCTCTAGGAACAAGAAATGTAGCTCAGACTTACAGGAAGGGTAACTTTATCCTGAGAAGCAATGACTCCAAAAAAGATTAGGGGGTCATACTAGACAAGCAACTCCCACGTGACCTTCCAGTGGAGTACTGTGGCAAAAAGGGATAATGCAATCTGTGGATGTATAAACAGAACAAGGACCAGGAAGGTGATTTTACCTCTTCATATGACAGTAGTGAGAGACAGATAGTGGAATACTGCATCAAGTTCTGGAGTCCATATTTTAAAGAGGATATTGAAAAATTGAAGACTGTTCAAAAAAATAAATGATTTGAAGGCTAGTGAAAATTCCCTCCATTGAGATAAACTAAACAAGATTGAGTGCTGTGTCAAAAAACATTAAGAGGTGTATAAGTGCCTTCACGGTGTATAAGTGTATTACAGTGTATAAGTACCTTCACAGGGAAAAAGATACTAGATCTCTTTAATCTAGCGGAGAAAGGTATGCAAACCACTAATGACCGGAAGCTAAAAATCAGACAAATTTCAAATTAGAAAGAAGGCACTTGTTTAAACAAACAAAATAAAAATTAATTACTGGAACAAATTGCCAGGGGAAGTTATGGATTCTCCATCTCTTGATATCTTCAAATCAATATTGGAGGCCTTTCTGGAAGTTATGCTTTAGTCAAACAGAAGTTATTGAGCTCAGTACAGGGATAACAGTGAAATTTTGTGTCTTGTGTTATCCAGATCAGGCCAGATGATCCCTTCTGGCCTTAATCTCCACAAGCACATATTAACCCATTTTAGAAGAGCTATCTTGCCAGTGTAAGACGATCATAAAAGTTTGACTTGCTGACTACAACCAGTTTTGTGGCCCTCAGTATCTACTAAATGAAGAAGTGGCAGCTCTGAGGACCATTGATATAGACCATATGACAAAGGGGAATTTCAGAGAATAGTGCAGCCTGAGTAAAACACAATCAATGCAGTGATATTTCAGCTGTTGACATGCCAGTTTTCAATCAATGGGCAACATTCTACTCACATAAGAAACAGACACTTTTTTAAACCAAAAAAATTTATTTAATGATTTTCCACATACAAATGAAGGGAACATAAAATATTTTATGTCAAAATTCAACATTAGCTAAAACAGTTAAAATTAATATTTAAAAAACATTTCAAAAGAAAAATCAATAGTGCAACTATAATAAAAAGCTGTTCAGTCCATTTTCTGTGAAATTATACTTGAAATTCCATCACACACATACACAAATGTATGTAATCTTCAATTAGCTAAAAAGACATTGATCTAGTGCAAGATACATTTTAAACTTGCATACTGTTGTTCTATATGATGGACGTTAACTCACATTTGGAAAGAGCCTTCACATTTTATTTTTATTTCCTGAATAATTACTGTACCAGCCACCAAGGTGCTTCTTCCACCACTAATACATATATATTTAGCAGTTTAAGTTACTCTAAAAATGTCATTATAAGGTTTTATCATCATTATTTCTCAATGCTTCCCTATCAGATGTACACAGTTTACAAGTGAAAAGATGTATTTTCTAACTGCCAGTCCTGAAAACTCTTGCTGGACTCCCATCAGTCCATCTGTATTCTTTCCTTCTCACACATCAAGCCCAGTAATAATGGTTCTGCAGATTAAACCAGGCCTCAGTTACACTGAGTAACCAATTTTAAATTAGTAATTCTGTTGATGATGCACCAGAAGAAACGGAATCCAGCTAATCCCCAAGATGAATTGGCTCTGATGGGCTAACAAACAAAAAGCAGTAAAACTTATTTGTCATTTGGGATAGCATTCTGAATACACACAGGGAAGGAATCTGCTGCTATTTTTACCTAGTCAGGTTTCAGAGTATAGCTGCACTGCAGGTTAGTTTGCAGCTACAGTACAAAAAAAGTCACTTGATCAGTTCTGGTTATCTCTTGATTCTATCAAGTAAACGACTGGAGCTGTGGTAGTATGCCCACCAACTCAGTTTCATATAATGTCAAGCAAAAAGTTAAGATCAATTAACTTAGATACAAGATACTTTATGTCTTAAGTTTCCCCCCCCCCCCCGTTGAAGAATTAGCAATGGTCCAAGACAATAGAAATCCATGTATTTAAGTTGCGTTGTAAGTTTTGTCATCTTTTGCAGAAAGAAGATTTTAGCCCTTCTGGTTGCAGAGATAGCCTTGAGAGCATTAACTAATTTGCTTTATCAATACAACTTCAAGTCTGCAACCAGATGGGAATGAAACATAGCACCAAAGGAAAGGCAGCATTCTTTATTTCATCTTCATGAAGCATTTTAACCCCAATTTACAAAAGTTTAAATGCAACATCCTTAATTATTTCACTGTTGATCCTACAGCCTGAAATATCCAGCTAATGAATTTATCCCCTGTACCTGAATGTATTTATCAAACACTAACTTTACATTCATTTGAAATAGAGAAGGGTGCAAACACTGACTAGCCAAGTGGACAACAAGGTAATCTTTCAAATATTCTGATAAGGCTCACAATGTTCCTTGTAACACATGACAAAATTAATATTCATATTGCTGCCAAATACAGTGTTGAATGACTGCACTTCAGCTTGCAGGATACTATGGGGTTCTCTATCAAACTTGGCCTGACAGCCTCTATTTTGGTAGTTTTGTTTAACACGCTAATACATATTTTAAGAAAATGCTCATTGTTCTTAGTAAATAATACTATACAACAATGTAAAAGTTGGACCAAGTTAGATAGAAAATGTGGACTCTCTAGACCCTACCCACAATAAGTTGAATAAATTTTTAACTAGAATTCCTCACATTTCTACTGTCCCTGATCATAGTACCTTCAATGAATTATCTTGAACAGAAATAAATATATTTTCACATCAGCAATTAACAACCCTAAAAGTGAAATCAGATATACTTCTTCCTCATTTTTCTTTTTCACAGCATCTAAGTTCTCCTGAGTTACAGGCAGTGGGGTTACGACAGCTGACCACAGTCAGTAATGACAATCTTCTTTGATGTCTTTCCATTCTTGGAGCCAAAGCTCTCGATTTTTTTCACAACTTCCATTCCTTCCTTTACATGGCCAAACACAACATGTTTTCCATCTAGCCTGTAATAAATAATAAATACGTGTAAGTAAAAGCAATATTAAACTAAATACACACAAAGTAAGGGGGATGCTGAATACGAATGCATATTCAGACTAGCTGATGACATTCTGACCAACTCTAGTTACCGAAAAAGTAAAATACAATACAGCTTTAGGACCTGATCCTACAGGCCCTTCCTCACATGAATAAAGGTTAGCAGCATAATGACCTTATCTTGCGTAGTGCCCATTACTTAAAAACGTAAAGCATGTCAGGTTGCAAGCCTTAAGTACCAATAGCAGAGGAAGATGGATATAGAAGGGAAGTGGTATAGTTGGGGAGGGTGGGCAAGGAGAATGTCTTAAATATTGGAGCAAAACGTACTGACATAATGAGGCAGAGAGATACAGAAAATGTGTTCCAGATGGCAGGAGCAGTAGAGAGGGCTATCTGAACAAAGGCTGTTCTAAGTGGGGCTAATCCAAAGCTCACTGAAGTCAACAGACGTCTCTCTTGAGTACAATTCAATCTGGATCAGGCCTTTAGGGACTGTAGGGCAGTATGGTGTATAGTGAACCAAACAGGTCTGGGAGACTGGAGGCCCTAGGATTGATCAAATCACTTAACCTTTCTATCTCCACTTGTCAGTAAGCATTCTATACATCATGGGGCTACAGTGAGAATTTGTTCATGGAATCTTTTCGCATGGAGGGGAGGGGAAAGCATACATTGCATTCATTACTGTCCTGCAGTTTTGTAGGATGTCTCAATACACTTACAAGATTATTTAATTATGTGGCGGGGGTGGGAGGGGAAGATGCATGAACCTTCAGCTAACCAAGGTTTTATATTTTCTAACTCACATAATGCTTAGTGAAGTAGTCCCAGAGTCCAGAATCACTTGTAATTTCTTTAGAAGTTAAAAAAAGTGAACTTTTTAAACATGCAATGGAGAGCAGTCCTCCACCTATGTTCATCCCATTAACTTATGTTTAGAGCTTCTGGCTCAAACAGAATATTTCCTAGGAAGTGATGGAGAAATTTAAGGTCACAACTCACAAGGTAAATATTTGGTTAAGGCTGACTCTCTTTTCTTAATTGCCACTCCTGACCTATGGCTTCACCCTGCTCTACCAATGCTAATCATTTTTGGACTTGGAAAAAGCAAAGGCTTGTTCCAGCAATGAGGGAGGTATTGCTGAAGTATGCTGGAAACAGCAGGAGGTACACTACTGCATCCAAAGAAAATGAGAATAAAAATCAACATGATGCCTTCATTTTAGAATAGAAAAAAACCCCCATCTTATTGGACCCATTCAAATGCACAGAGCAACATCAACTGTTTGATTTATCTCCCTTATGTCTTCAGTTTCCTCCAACCTCCCCAAATCATAGAATCATAGAAGATTAGGGTTGGAAGAGACCTCAGGAGGTCATCTAGTCCAACCTCCTGCTCAAAGCAGGACCAGCACCAACTAAATCATCCCAGCCAGGGCTTTGTCAAGCCAGGCCTTAAAAACCTCTATGGATGGAGATTCCACCACCTCCCTAGGTAACCCATTCCAGTGCTTCACCACCCTCCTAGTGAAATAGTGTTTCCTAATATCCAACCTAGACTTCCCTCACTGCAACTTGAGACCATTGCTCCTTGTTCTGTCATCTGCCACCACTGTGAACAGCCAAGCTCCAGCCTCTTCGGAACCCCACTTCAGGTAGTTGAAGGCTGCTATCAAACCCCCCCCCACTCTTCTCTTCTGCAGACTAAACAAGACCAGTTCCCTCAGCCGCTCCTTGTAAGTCATGTACCCCAACCCCCTAATCATTTTCGTTGTCCTCCGCTGGACTCTCTCTCCAATTTGTCCACAGCCTCTCTGTAGTGGAGGGCCCAAAACTGGACGCAATACTCCAGATGTGGCCTCACCAGTGCCGAATAGAGGGGAATAATCAGCTCCCTCGATCTGCTGGCAATGCTGCTACTAATGAGGCCCAATATGAAGTCCATTAGCCTTCTTGGCAACGAGGGCACACTGCTGACTCATATCCAGCTTCTCGTCCACTGTAATCCCCAGGTCCTTTTCTGCAGAAATGCTAGGCTTCTAATGACAAAGCAATTAATGTAGATACATTTTTAAGAACTGCAGACCCATGGGTTAAGTGTTACCACATGTATTTCTATGGAAAACTTACCAGTCAGTTTTGGCAGTGCAAATGAAGAACTGAGACCCATTTGTATTGGGTCCTGCGTTGGCCATTGAGAGTATACCTGCAAAAACATGAATGTTTTAGCAATGTATTCATCTGAAAAATGTGCTGCAGAGAAAATGCACTTTTCCTTTGCATACGTAAGGCTAGTAGAGATGCGGAATAGGGGAGAGGCATGTTGCTTCAACCTGACTGCTAATGTCCCACCCTTTCCTTCGCCTGTCCTCTCTCCTCCAGCAATGGTAGTATGGGGCTAGTTCATCTGCCATTGGGACCCTGAAGGTGGCTCCTACCTTGTAACGTCTATTGTGGTTTGCATGGTAAATAGGGAAAACCAACACCAACTTGGTCCCCATGATAAATGGAATGGTCTGGTCTGATATGTTAGAATTGCAAAGACATTTCCTAAGTGTATGTTCCTAGATGACTGGGTTCTTCCCCCCCCCCCCCCCCCAACATCCACCTGCTCTTTTGGCTATAGTTGGTTATAATTGGTCTGTTGGTATAACTGATCTTTTGGCTAAAAGCTTTTGTGCTCCCTTCCACACCATCTAGCCGGTGGACAGCCAACACCATGGTGACGAGTCAGATAGACCCATGACCACTTCATTTCACTCTGCGTAAAAATTCAAGTCAGGAGATTCACAAAACAGAAAACTTAGCCAAATTCCATTCCATTACAAAAAGTTGTTCCACATTTGGGAGTTTGTAAACATAAAACAGAACATAATCACGTTAGGCTATGATAATTTGCATAGCAGCCACTTAAAGCAAACTGCAAGAAATAGGTGTGATGATCTGACTGTCACCCATCAGAGGCGGTCTACATGATCACTGTATACTAGCACAGTTGAACTAGTAACACCTCACCACTTCGACACCACCTCAATGACCTTTTTGTAACGATCAAGTACCTCACCCACCTCAAATATGTGCTCCTTAAAATGACATTTTCTACAGGTAACAATCATTATAGGTTACTCAGCAGAAGGGAAGAGGAATACGTTTATTTACCAGGTCCAACATGCTTAAGTATGAAATTTTCATCTGGAAATCGACTGCCATAAATGGATTTTCCTCCTGTGCCATTGTGGTTGGTAAAGTCCCCAGCCTGAAACATAAGTGGTTTTTAACTTTACTAATGTACAGGTTGCATTTTATACTAGAATGGGTGCTATTAAAAATATACCCACTTTTGTAATTAAATTTACATGGAATATACGGGCCCAAAGGAGTTAATATGACCCTGTCACCATCCAACATTAAACAACATTAAGCAAGGTTCAGGCTTTGGTATACAGAGACCTCATCCTGCTTAGTACCACAGCAAACACATGATTAAAAATTTTAAAGCTTTTATTAAAGATATAGAAAGGAAGGAAAACAGTTAACACATTTGAAATAAAGTATTAAGTTGCGCTTTCATTTTAACATCTTTGTTCCCTTTAGCTGTAGAGAGTCCTTAAAGGGAAAAAACCAAAACCATCGTTCGACAGTTTTTTAGATGGTATTAAAGATGGAAATAACTGTCCTTTTTGGGGGAAAAAAGTTAATTGAGATAGGCTTGTGCTGTTTTTGTTAAAATCCCAGTCCTGTTTCCTAGAAGACAAAATAAGAAACACACACAAGATGGGAGAGAAAAGAATAGCAAAGATAGAAAATACAGCTTCTGTCTTGGGTGGGTCAATGTTTACTTGCTACCTCACTGCTGGAAAAACAAATACATGGCACTTGGTCTTATTAGCCACTCTGGGACCTGGGAAACTCGTGCCAGCATTGACCCTTATTAGACAGAAGGCAAAAGGAGAGGGTTAGGAAAGAGAAGAAATAAAGTGGGGAAGAAAAAAGACACGTGTGAGAGTGGGGATCGGTGGCAAAGTCTCACATCCCAGTTAGCCAGAGCCACTGAAGGTGGCTATGTCATCTGGGTCCCCCTCTCTCTGGCTTGGTCTGGTCAGGATTAGGATGATGAAGGCTCAGTGATGTGGTGGATCCCAGAGTATCAGGAAATGATGGGGGTGGCAGCAAGGATCATATACCTTGCTCCTGTCCTGTCTGCCCATTTCTCAGTCAGCAGTTGTCAGACAGCTCCTTCTGATAATTTCCCCAAAAAAGTCTTCTCATCATTTGTTATAGGTTCTTGTAACAATTTTATAAACTTTCACTCACTTTTTCCAGTTGAGTTCACAATTAGGATAACTTTGCAGGAAAGAAGGTCCCCAATGGATATTTTATTCACCACTTCAATACAGAGGTACTGAAGATTCACCTGGTGATTATGCAGTATTGGCAGACTTCCTACCCTTAATGGAAGAGATTCAGATACTGTGGGAATCTTAATTCAAACATTTTGCTTTTGTAGTTTTAAATTTGGAAAGAAGATCTGATTCTAGTCACACTCGGAGCTGAATGGGAGTTTTCGTAGAGACAGCAGGATCAGGCCCCCGATAGCTTTTCTTTTACAGGACAAAAATTGTTAGGCAATTAATCCTAATTCATAGGATCACCTGACATGTCAGGTATCTGACCTGTTTTATCTGCCTTGTAACTACCATAGTCTGAACGTTCCTTGAGACACAGACTGAGACTTCTTATGTATGTACAGGGCCAAGCACACTGCTGCAAATGAAAGCTAATCCTTGCAAACAATGTTAGGAACTATTAGGAAAGGGATAGAAAATAAGTCAGAAAATATCATAATGCCACTATATAAATCCATGGTGTGCCAACACCTTGAATACTGTGTCCCGTACTTTAAAACCCATCTCAAAAAGGATACGATAGACTGGACAAGGTTCAGAGAAGGGCAACAAAGATGATCAAGGGTATGGAACAGCTTCCATATAAGCAGAGACTTAAAAAGATTAGAGCACTTCATCTTAGAAGAGGGATGACTAAGAGGGGATATGATAGGGGTCTATAAAATTATGAAAAGTGTGGAAAAAGTGAATAGAGAAGTGTTATTTACTGGGGTCACCTGATAAAATTAAAAGGTGGCAGGTAGAATACAAGTAAGAGGAGGTACTTTTTTACACAACAAACAACTAACCCATAGAACTCATTGCCACAAGATGTTGTGATGGCCATAAGTATAACTGGGTTCAAAAAAGGATTGGAAAAGTTCATGGAGAAATAGGTCCATCAATTGCTATTAGCCAAGATGGTCAGATGCCACTCCATGCTTGGGGCAGGTCTAAAACCTCTGACTACCAGAAGCTGGGAGTGGAAGACAGGGGTGGATCACTTTAGAATTGCTCTGCAAATCTCCCCTAAAGCTCTGGCACAGGACACTATTGGAGACATAATACTGGGCAAGACGGACCATAGTCTAACCCAGTATGGTAGCTCTTATGTTCTTTGGAATCATAAGATATTGTGTATGACATTCACATTTTTAAGATTGCCTTGAGCAGCCCGAAGTTGTGCTTTACATAATAGTGTGGCAATTCTTGTGTAATCCCAGAAGCATGCTTTACGTGCTGTGTATCATCAAGAGGCATTTGAATTGCAAAGTAAAGTACATGGCAACCTTTAATTAGGTGTATTCATCAGGCTGCATCACACTAACACTGCACCTCCTACAAGTGGAATGGCCTTCACCATTTCCACCAGCTTTAGAATGTTAAAAGGAAAATTGTCCTAGAATTATTATATCGGCCTTGAAGCATATAGCAGCAGTTACACATCTGTAACAAATACAGAGCACTTTACAAACACTAACTCATCATCTCAACACTTGAGATACAGGCAACTAATTTTCCTGTTTTACAAATGGGCAAACAGAGGCAATAAGGACTATATGATTTGGATAGAACTATGTAAGTTAGTGGTGGAGCAGCAATCAATATTTTCAAGTTCCTGACCCCAGGTCAGAGTCTAGACCTTGCTTCTTCTCCACCACCACCAAAAGATCCAACATGTATTTTCAAAAAAAAAAGTCAGTCTACTGCAGCATATTTGTCCACTTTCCCTTATCAAAAGTAGGACAACATAAGAACATTTGCTTTTTGGTATTTTTTAAATTTTAAATGCAGTTTTTTGCTCAAGATGCAAGTGCCTCCAAGGTTATCAATTAATAACAGCAATTATTTACATGTTTATAAAGCCTTTCACCTCAAATAAATCAAAGCCATTCAAAAACTCTATAAATACACTACTGTTGAAATGCAGCCTTCGTTGGGGTGAGAGAAAGCAACCAATTATCCAGTACACTGCAGCAATTGGGGGCGGGGGGAATTTTGTCCAAGTGCAATGGAACAAACCCCTACTGTCATGCACAGCATCATGGAATGTTAATACAGCATCCATACAAAACAGATAGGTGATTAATTTATCTTCCAAAAGCATATATACACTTTATTTTAAACAGGATCACTGTCATGTTTGTGTATACTTTATAGCAGTTTAGAATGATTCAGTCTTCAAATTAGAAGTAATTGCCACATTCAAAATCTCTTAAGACACCAAGTAGTCTTTTAGTGAGTCAGCCTATTTACTTGGAAAACACAGTAGGTGTTCTTTTTCCCCAGGTGAGGTGTTCATAGGAAACCTCTGATTGTTTTCTTTTAAATGCCTATATATCAACAGCAAATATAACAAGATGATGTCAGCAAAGAAAGAACGGGTACATTGTTCTCTTATCTCATATGTGCTACTTTACACTGATTATAATTCTACACACAGACTGTTTTCCTAACCAAGAGCCATTTTACTGAGCACACCACTTGTTAAAATACATCACTACACAAAAGCACAGCTCCCGAAGTCAGGATTTCTAAAGCAGTCTGAGCGGTATTTGCATTTAGTTGTACAAACCCATGTGCTACACAACAGCCATAGCAACAGGATCAGAAATGCAAGGCACATTGTCATATCTTCCTTCTGCTGTTAAGAGGTTACACAGCAAAACTACTTAAAAGTTAAACTTGTGTTCTAATGCAAATAAAAATCATTCTTAACCATATATCAGAATTCAGTATAATAGATCCGTTATAATATGTTTCCCAAAATAAAAGTTGGTGAAAATACTAAAGGTTACATTACCTGGCACATAAATAAAGGAATCACTCTGTGAAAGGTGGATCCTTTATATCCGAAACCCTTTTCACCGGTACAAAGAGCTCTGAAATTTTCTGGTAAAACAAAAACATATATGAACTACTATCATGTAACATCAGCACTATACAGTACCCTACAACCAAATTAAAATAAACTGGCAGGTAATTTAGGTCCCACATCAGTGTTTTTTAAAAAACGTTTAATGCACATTCTTTAAAAAAGTTTAGTGCCCAACAGGAATATAAAGTCCTATGAATTTTTTTTAATTCTTCTATTGCTCATGCTTGAGAGATTTGTATTAGTGAAAGGTGCTGATGAGAGAGTTTTGATGAAAGAGAGTTTGTTTACCCCCACTACTGTGCAGTATTATAGGTAGCTGCAATGCAAGGTTTCTCGTTTCACTTGCACTCTTTTGGCCTGGTCTACACTACAGCTAAGTGCCTCTCCCCTGACTGCAGCCCTGAGCCCCCTCTTTCCCTCCGTCCCCCAGCCCAGGTGCTGCTGAGGGTAGAGAAAGCTGGGGGGGGGGGTCCTTTCTCCCCACTGTAGCCCCCAGGCAGCCTGCACCCCAAACCCTTCATCCCCAGCCCCACCCCAGAGCCCACACCCCCAGCCAAAGCCCTCAACCCTCCACACCCCAATCCTCTGCCCCAGCCCTGAGTCCCTCATCCCCAGCCCCACCCCGGAGTCCTCACCTCCCCCCTGCACCCCAATCCTTTGCCCTAGCCCTGAGTCCCCCTCCCATACTCCAAACCCCTCGGCCCCCACCCCCACCACATGAATTTTGTTATGTGCACCAATTCATTCCACATATGTGTGGGAAAAATTAGAGGGAACACTGCACTACAGTTAGGTCGACAGAAAGCAGCTTACTTCAACCTAACTCTGTAAGCATCTAAACTAAAACGTAGCTCCCACCGATGTAACTCGCCAGCTACAGTGACTTAACTCCACATCTGTGAGAGGTGTAGAGCTTAGGTCTACATAGTTAGGCCGATGCAGCGTCAGTGCAGTCACTGTGTTGCTTACATCAACTGTTGCTGCCTTTCAGAAGCCATCCCACAATGCCCCACACTGACAGTTAAATCAGTGCAAGGGGTCCTGGTGAGGACACGCACTGCTGGCACAAGGAGAGTAATTTGGGCATGCAAAAGCAATTCAATCACTGAGGTGGCTGTACATCAAAATTAGGTCGATTTAATTTTGTAGTCTAGATTTGCCCTTAATCTCAGTTTGAAATAACCCCTCTAGGAGTGAGATTTCAGTCTCCATGCCTTTTAAACCTTTGCTCTTGCTACCAGTTGTGAAAGTGGTATTTTTCCCACAGATACTTGTCTACTAGGAAGTAGACCAAGACAACCAACTCATAGACTAAGGTCAGAAGGGACCATCATGATCATCCAGTCTGACCTACACACGGCAGGCCACAGATTCTCATCCACCCAGTCCTGTAACAGACCTATAACCTCTGGCTGAGTTACTCAAGTCCTCAAATCATACTTTAAAGACTTCAAGTTCACTTGGGTCATCGAAGAGCCCTCAAAGAAAACCTTTTGATCACTATCAGGGTAGGAGGATTGAAACCAGCTTAGAGGTGAAAGGGAAAAAGTCTATATCCCATTACCAATCTCCCAAACCACACCATCCCCACTCCACAATTCCTCCAGTTTGCTGTTGCTTTGGATTTCAGTGAAAGAAGTGCATGGGGTTTTTTTGTTAAACATTTTTGTCCAGTGTTGGTAACCAACACACATCACTACCTTGCCTGTGCATGAAAGTTAACCCAACTGTGTCGGGAAAAAAATTAGAAAAATTTGTGATGAAACATACATTAATATTTTCCTATTTTTCAACCAACTATTGAGCTAGTTAAAGTTTCTCTAAAGCTTTAATTTTGATGAAACTGGAAGGGAAAATGCATCTTCCCTCCTCCCCCTCCCCCAATCTAACCTAAATCTTAAAATCACAAAGTATGAAACTTTCAAAACACTTTCTTACCAGCTGTCTTTGGAACCACATCAGCTTTCAGCTGTTAAAAAGAGAGAGAGAGAGCAAGCACAAAAAGTCAGCTTTTACATAACAAAATAGACACATGAAAAAAGTTAAAAAGATACCTACATCTGTTTCATGAACTAAGCCAATGCAAGGAGGGGGAGACCTGTACTAAGGATGACCTTTTATTATACAATGAGCCACCTCATGTCCTAAACAACCATTTTAACATAGCCTAATAGATTCTACAATAATGCGGTTTGACCTGTAATTAAAGACCACCTCTACGAAGCAACTATTTTTTGTTGGGCCTGTGGTCAGTCATTTAAGACTGATTGCAGTTGTAATTAACAATACAACATGAAATTCAGGAAGAATTTGAAATTTGACTGGAAATACTCCGGATCACTGACCAAAACTATTTTGGACTATCACTGCAATTAAATTACTTCCAGCAGAGACCAAACTTTGAAGCCTGCTTAAAAATAGTTATATTAGGGAAACTGAGGTTGCAGGAACAGAAAGAAGAGCAGACGTTGCACACCTAAAATTAATTCCCAAAGTCACACACAGGCAAATTAATAAGTTTTTGTTTCTAAAGATTTCACAGGAAGTACTTTTGTAGACATTACAAAACTCGTCATAATAGCCAGCATGGATTTTTTAAGGCTACGTCTTCACTACCCGCCGATCCGGCGGGTAGCAATCGGTTTATCGGGGATCGACTTACCGCGTCTCGTGAGGACGCGGTAAAATCGATCCCTGATCGCTCTGCCGTCGACTCCGGAAATCCACCTCGACAAGAGGCGGCAGCGGAGTCGGCGGCAGCGCGGCAGCGGTCGGCTTTCTCCCGTCCTCACCACCAGGTAAGCCGACCTAAAATACGCAACTTCAGCTACGGTATTCACATAGCTGAAGTTGCGTATCTTAGGTCGGAACACCGCTGTAGTGTAGACCTAGCC